GCGATCCTACTTTAAGTCCGTCGGTACATTAAGGATTTTTGCCAGGGGAAAAATAGTTTCTGTACTTATCCTGTGACCTTTTTGCAAAAATTGTGACGTATTAGCATTTCTGTAAAGGTCGAACTTTTATAATATGGTACTAAAGTATGAACTTTGAAACAGAAACGCATAAAAGCAGCATGTAAGAGTATTCCTTTAGTTAACCAAACCATTAAAGAGAGGGCCACGCCCTTTTTGTGGGCAAAAACTACTTTTTTACCCCTCCAAAAATTTCACAGTGTCTAAGGTATTTGAAGTAGAAAGGTTGATTTGCAGATGAAAACTTCTCTAATGAAAGAGTTGATGAGTGAATCACTTCAAAAAGGTGTACGAGATTTAGATTTTAGGATTATTCAGAAGATTTCTGGATTTTTTAAAATCTGACATTTCATTGTTAGAAACAGGTTCTCAAAGATTTTGGGATTTTCAATGAAAATTCTGAAAGTTGATTATGGTAACTGTGATTTTCTGATGACAGTGCACTGTAAAAAGTTTGTTTTTTGTGCAATGGATATTTTTCAGAAAATGTGCACCAAACAAAAAAGAATTTCTAGCAAGGATGAAACTGCTGCTGTGAATTGTTTACAATCATAATTTGACCAAGCAACTAGTGGTGCAAAACTTGATGTTCAAAATGGAATTTTTTGCGTATTTTTAAAACTTCTTAATTTTGACCACATAACCTAAAAGAACGGCATAAATGCCTCTCAACATGCAAAATCAATTAAATATGTTCATAATTGGGCGAGATATGGCAAATGAAAAATTTCAATTTTGTTGACGGATTAATGGCCTAGTTCATAAAGTTCCTAACCAAGACCAAATTTCAGAGGTTTGATTGGGCAAGAGCCTTTGCTTATTTGGCCATTTTTCAGCCAATTTGTAACACATACAATCGCTTTGGTAAATTTAGAGGCACTTCTTAACGCTATTTTGGAAGTTATGTTCAAAATTGTAAACATATATTTTTGTGACGTCATCACTATGGTACTCTATTCCATGGCTGCAAAATATTTGAGAAAGGATCTAAAACCCGAAACACAAGATCAAAGAAACAAAACCTTCAAATGAACGCATACAAATACAATTTTCACGTGAAAAAGGTGTAGTTGGCACATAAAGTGTCATAGGATTCAAACTTTAATATATATTTAATACTACAAAAAGGCCATTTAGTCATGGACATTTGACTGCTTACCACATGACTTATTAATTCAAAGTTACATGCATATGGCTTTAGTAATAGTGCATTGCAGCTATTATATAGTTATTTCAAAGCCAGGGCTCAGAGACTAAAACTGAACTCTAACTGGAGTGAATGGATGGATGGAGTCCCACAGGGATCTGTTTTAGGACCATTATTGTTCAATATTTTTAAAAATGATATTTTTCTATTTCTAAAGGAAAGTTAAACATTCAATTATGCTGATGATAACACAATATGGATAAAAGGGCAAACAACTAGTGATATGATCTCAAAGCTTGAATCTGAGCTAAACACTCTAAATAGCTGGTTCAAAGATAACTGCATGCTCCTAAATAAAACAAATGTAAATAAATGATTATAGAACCTCATAGGGCAGATTCTGGGCAGAGTGAAGTTAAAATTGAGGATTATTCAATCGGAAACACAGATATAGAAAAATTACGTGGTGTAGTACTTGATAACCATCTAAAGTTTGAACATCAGATAAAGAAGATTTGTAATGAAGCTGGGGAAAAAACTACTGCCCTTGCCAGAGTAGCGCCTTATTCAAATGAAAAAAGAAAACTGTCAATGAAGT